ATAATTAATATAATATTAATCCTAATTCTTCTTATAAAACTCATATATTCCATATTTTTATTTTCAAACTTTGCCAATTAAAATGAGATCTTGGCAATTCTACAACTCCAGAATTATTTCGTTCTTATTCTCACGTTCAAATAATTTAGTTAATAATTATTTTGTATTAAATCAATTAAATATCCCATTCCATTCCATTCAATTTTATATATATATACTTAAGAGGTTTTTAATAATTTTTTAATGGTTAATTTAAGAAAATCGATGGAACACTCGAAATTTATCGATCTCTCAAGTGTAAATGTAATCAATCTTCAATTACTACCCTTAACATCATCTTTAATCTTTATAGTTTGTCTAATTAATGATTATTGATAATGTATAATATCATATTATCACATTATTAATACAAAGATTTATCTATAAATAAAATAGGTTTTCTTGATTAAATTCTACTATTCCATGTAGAGGTGTGGAAATCCGGTTAACCGAACCGGATTGGCCATATTACTAACCAAACCGGTTATTCAGTTCAAGGGATTTTGCAAACCGAAACTGGACCAGTTTACCCCTTGAACCGATTACTAACCGAACCAAATTTTCAGTTCGGTTAGTGGTTAACCGATTTATAAATCGGTTTTTGCAAAAAATATTAAATTTTATTTTAATTTAATAATATACTCCTTTCTCATCTCTAAAAACAATTAACACATAACATAAAAAGACCATTTTCACAAAAATTGTAAGTAATCTATGTAATTATATGTAATCTGTATGAATAATCTTAAAATTGAAATCAAAACTAAAGCATTTGTATTGAATTCAGCCACAAGTGTTCTTCCTATTAGTAGTACCAAAACAATTCAACAAGCCATCATCATAAAAAGATTGTTAAACCAAAGTAATGCAGCTAAATACATAACAGAATTTCCATTTTCCAATAGCCAAAATCCAAATACAATAATACATAGCAACATTTACAACAGGCAACAGCCAAAACAATAAAATGCAGCCAAAACAATGCAGTAACGCCAACAATGCCTCCCAAAGTCCAAAACAATGCTTACAAAAAATATTCCGGCAGCCACCAAACACAACCAAGTACCAGCACCTCTTGGCTCTTGCAAACATTTTCACCACCATTAGAAATATATAAAAAGTTTACAAAAAGCTAACAATAGCAAACCAAATTTCCAATTTGCCAACAACCTAGAATGCCAAGTCTGAAGTCTCCGAACTCCCAAGTCTCAAGTCCCAACTACTAAACCAACTAGCCAAGCCTACCAAGCCCATAAGAAATAGAAAATTAAGTATGCCAAATTGCAAATTAAATTATCCACACATCATAATATCATATGACACATATAAGATTGATTAAATTACATTAACTGAAAGTTATACACCACATATACAAGACAGTTGTTTAATACTTCAATTATCCAAAGCACGATTATAAAGACTTTATGAAATTCTTTGGTGTATGCCCCACTTACAGACTTTTATGAATACCACCAAATACAAAAATAAATTAGATTCATCTCAAATATATGATTCAAAAGTACAGTGACTCAGTGAGTTGGATCAAAGTTTCAGACTTTAGTCTCTTTAATCCATAAAAATGAAACCAAATTAATTCTATATGATAAAAAAAAAACTGTCAAGTTGCAAATATGTGTGATATGATTAAGTTTCAGGTTTAAATAATGTGAAATATTGTGATGGAAGATTGAAAATAAACTTTGAAAGCAAACTGCAAATACATGTTCAACAGAAAATAAAATTAATAAACTCATAAGATGCATTAGATCTTACATTGCTGAATCGATGGAGTATGGATGCCGACTGTGAGAATGGTGAACTGGAGTATGGATGGTGTAATAACTGCTTCATACTAGGTTACTCATAGAAATACATAAAGTAAAATGCATTTATATTAGCAAAAGTAAATGGGCCCCAGAAAGTTTCTTTAATATATAAATCATCTTTATACAAAGTAAGGTATCATTTGTAAAAGTTATCAAAAACAGTTGACAGTGTAGCTATTGTCCTTGCTTGCCGACGCCCATTGATCGCGACCTCACCTAGATCCTGCAAACACAAAGATAAACAACAGGGGTGAGCATAAAATAATGCTCAGTAAGTAAATCTTTACTCGTCTATCCCCGTAACTCTTTCTCTAATTCTTTCCTACACTCTTCTCATCTCGTTTATTTTCTTTTTCTGTTTCTTTTCACACGGCCTCTTTTTATTAACTTTTGTTATATGTCACGGCCTCATCTTACCGGAGGCACGGCTAAGTGGAGATCACAAAGCACCACCCATCTTCGTGACTTCTACTAATTCTGTTCCTCTCTCTTCTCATATTTTCTCATTCTTTCTCACTGAATGTCATGGCCTCATCTTACCGGAGGCACGGCCGGGTGGAGTTCACAAAGCACCAACATCTTCGTGACTTCCGGGTGGAGTTCACAAAGCACTAACCCATTCTTCATAATTTTCGGGTGGAGTTCACAAAACACTAACCCATTCTTAGATTTTCTCATTCTCTTTACTTTTAGAGTAGCTCATTCACAAGTTCCTACTCTTTCTCAAACTACTTCTTAATGCACAATTAATGCATAAGGATGGTTCATGCTTAAAGTTTCTTACTTAATACACTTATGAAATGCACAAATGCAATATTGCATCAAGATAGTCATTCTGCCCAGGTCACACTCAAGAAGACATAACTTGAGTTATACACATCGGATTGATAGGGTTGTCTCGTTTTAAAGCTAGAGCAGGGCTACAACTTTTATGTTTGGTCTAAACCCAATTCAATTCGAAGAGCCCAAAAATCACTTAGAAAGTTACAGCTGTGATAAGACAGTTTGGTAACATGTTTTCACTTAGGCATTTCATCAAACATTAGTTGTGCATAAACAAACCCTAATTCATTATCATTTTATTTATTCTCAAACTATCCAAAATGAGAGAAAAACTCTCTTGTAGCATCACATAATACATGGCAAACACACTCCCAAAAATTTCTCAATCTTTTAATTTCAAACCATCATCAATCATCACATATACTTCTCATATTCAAATATATCCAACATAAGCATAATTCATCATAACATCTATCCAATTTCCAATAATCACAACATATGCATATTTAAAAGAAATCTCTACTCACTTGAATTCTTAAATTTAGCTTAAGTTGGATTTTGAGTAGAATTTACTTACCTTGTGCTTGGTAGTCTCTCCTAAACTCTTTATTTTGTTGGATTCCAATATTCTCTTAACCCTAAGCATAAACTTTATAAGAACTCAACCTTTACACAAATAAATCATAGATAAAGAGCATGAATCCTTACCTTTTAATGCTAGAATCAAAACCCTATGAAAAACCACTTAAAAGCCTCAAAATCCTTGGAGGATTGAATGATAATTTGAGAGAAAATGGGGGGTGTGTGGCGGTGGAAAGAAGAAAATAAGGGTTTCAAACCCTTAACATTTAGTTTATAACCATACTTCCCATTATGCCCTTATTTTTCTTAGAAATTTCATCTATGTCCCTTAGTCAATGACCATAATGCCCTCATTTTAATGCATTCTCTAGAAATTCTATTCTTTTCACTCCCACAATTCACTAATTTGAGTGAAAATAACATTTTACCCCTAATGAAAGTTAAGGGATTTTCTTAACATTTCTCTCAAATAACTTTAACAAAAATTCAATAAGGGCCAACCAACTAATATTAACAATATATCAACCCAATAAAAGCAAAACAATAAACATTCAAGCAATACACCATAACTTAACTACGTACCTCAAGTGGGGCGTTACAGATGGTGACGTCGAGAATGGTGAACACGAGAAGGCGACGACGATGAAGAAGAGAAGGTGAATAGATGGCGGCGAAAATGGAGAAGAGAACGTGAGAAGAGTAAGAGTAGCAGAATAGGTGATGGCGAGAAAGAGAGTTTGTAGTGTTTAGGCCTTAGGGATTTAGTTTCAGTTTGAGAATAGAGAAGAAAAGGTGAGTAGATGATGGCAAAAATGGAGAAGAAAAGATGAGTACCATGGTAGGTGAGGGCGACGGTGAGAAGGAGAGAGTCTCGAGTGTAAGTGTTAGGATTTACTTTTACACTTTCTACTTTTTAGTAATATATGGTTTTACACTTTACTTAAGTTTGGCTTTACTTTAGTCTTTAGGGTCTAAACTTATTACAATTTACAATATTACCTTTTAGGTTTTAAGGACAACCGGTTTAAAAAACCGGTTTGGAAAATAGGCCAAATCGGTAACCGAACTGAAAAAGCGGTTTGGCCTATTTTCCAAACGAAATCGAAACGGTTTTTCAAACCAGTTTTAGTTCAGTTCGTCGGTTCAGTTCGATTTTCTGACTATTTTTCGTAGCCCAATTCCATGCTTTTATTTATGTCCAATATTAAAAATGGGTAAAAACAAGATTTATTTTCTTTTTTAAGATAGAATTTCTCATTATAGAATAAAAATATTAAAGTTTTAGCAGAAAAATAGCTTTAATAAATAAGCTTTTGACATAAATCGAAAATCACATTCAATTTGGTGGATCAAATGTTACCAATAATTCTATTATTTTCTTTCATGAGAGGTGAGTATTTTTCATCAATGGCGAACCCACCAAAAAAAAAAAAAATTTCATTTTTCCATCAGTTTTCTTGTCATTTCCCCATAAAAATTAGAGACCACTTAAAAGCCATCCCCGATACGTAACAATTTAACGAATCAGAGGTTGAAATGTGGCAAGTTTCTATTCTTTAGATTTTGATTTATTATTACTATTAGATCATACACGTGCTAAGATTAATTATTAGATATAAATAAAGTAGTTTGTAACTTTAATATGTGGCACTTGGCTTAATTTCATTGGTCCACTTTAAATCATATATGCAAAAACAACAGGGAGAGAAACAAATGAACAGAGCCATGCTTTCCTCTGATACGACATCGGAACAACGAATATTATTATTATCTCCTTCTTTAAAGTTTAAACACCACCAGCGGAAGTGCGGAGTCCCGTTAAATTTGGGAAACAAATTATAACGATACCGCTCCGCTTCGACGAAAACGATAGTAGTTTCAGGGTTTCACTGTTTCGAAAAGTTGGTTCCTTTTCTTAACAAATACACAAAACTCAAAACAAAAACCCCCCAGAAAAATAAAACACAAAACCAAAAACCAAAATTTAAACCCAAGCCTTTTTCCCTTGTATCCACATTCTATGTTCTTAAAACCAGAACTTTTCTTCTTTGATCCTCGCTCATCACCGCCCAGCAATCTTGCATTTCTCGTCTCAAGGTTTGAAATTTTTTCCGGTGAGCGGGGTGAGGTGGGGAATTTATATTTTTCAGGAGTGTGACTGAAAAAAAACTCCGGCGACTGGGGGCAGCCGGCAAATGGTTTCTTTGTCTTGGGGTTGAAGATGAGTCAGGTTCGAGTTGATGACGAGTTGAAATCGTCGAAGGCTGCCTTTTTCGTGGAGAGACTGAGACCGTGTGATGTTTTTTTACTCATCACGAAAATTCCTCTTATGCTCTGTCTCGTCACGTCAATTGGTTTCGTTCTCTACGCGGCCTTTTCAACTCAGTCTCGGGCGATCCGTTTCAACTTACCCAAACCAAAACCCATTTCATTGCCACCAGACCCAACACCGACCAACATCTCCCACATCTTATTTGGTATCAGCGGCTCCGCCGCCACGTGGCACCATAGAGCTCATTACACCAGCCTCTGGTGGGACCCGGACAAGACACGCGGATACGCCTGGTTGGATGAGAAACCCGGGCAAAACACCAGCAGTAAAAACAAAACCCTGCCTGAAAATTCTTTGCCGTATAAGGTGTCGGACGCGGGATGGACCCGGTTCGGGTACTCAAGCTCCAGACCTGCGGTTCGGATCGCCCGGATAATATGGGATGGCTTTAAGCTGAACTTGCCTAACGTGCGATGGTTCGTAATGGGAGATGATGATACGGTGTTTTTCACTGAAAACTTAGTTTCGGTGTTAACGAAGTATGATCATAATCAGATGTGGTACATCGGTTGTAATAGTGAAAGTGTTGAACAAAATGTGATGCACTCGTTCAACATGGCATTCGGTGGCGGTGGATTTGCGGTCAGTTATCCGTTAGCGGAGAAACTGGTCAATGCATTGGACGGTTGTCTTGAGAGATACTATTATTTCTACGGTTCCGATCAGAGGATCTGGGCTTGCATTAGCGAGATTGGCGTCACTTTAACACCGGAACGCGGGTTCCACCAGGTACGTCTATTAGTTTTGATTGGTTTATCTTCTTACACGTGGTATATTGATTGAGGTAAAAGTGGTCAAAGGTTTACACCGGTGACCGGAGTTTTTTCAACGTTAGATTGATTGTGTTGTGGGTTCTTCCACGCGTATAGACTTGTTTTTCAATGAGTGGTTGTTTGGTCTCTTAAAATTTGATTTGTTCGTCCACGTCCATCACCTTTCTGATAAATTATGGTGAGAAATCGAATGTCGCTTAGTATTGGTAAATTCGGAGAGAGTGAATCATAAAATAATTTGGAAAAAAATATTACTAAGATATTTTATAATAGTGTTTTTCATAATTCTATGGTGTCATATTACTCTTAGCTTTAAAATGATAGAGGCAAGTGCCATATTACAACGTGAATCCAGTTGAGTCCTCCGTAGCGATAAAGAAAGTTCCAAGATAGTAGGCAAACAGTTTGTGTATGGAGAAGGTTGTCCATCGAAATACTGCTTAAAAATCACGAAGCATCTGAATTTTCCACTTGCCCACAAAAGAAATACGACAAATTTTGTCACATTGTAAAAGGTCGAACATTTTATCAGTTATATGCTAGATTTGTACGTGTCAACCATGGATTTATCCAAAATATAATAATATGCCTTGCCTTAGTTGCCTACCAGATCGATCCGACGGTTTAAAATGACCCAAAACCTAGTTTTGAAAGTGGGTTTATAGTAATTAAACAGGGACAAATCATACTTTAGGTTCAGGGTTTTGTCATTGCATCGAGAATGGTGGCCATAATTGACACGCGTTGCTTGTTGAGACTTACTTTTCATGGACCATTGTCCTTTTGTATTGCATATTTGCAGAGACAGTGACCTGTTTGGCAGCTGAGAAACGTGAACCAGAGGCCTTATGGGTACTCTGTTCACGGAAGCAGGGGACTTTTTTGGACTAACTTTAGGACCTTTTGTTTCGTTGGTAGGGAATAGAAGTTAACACGTTTCGTGTGGAAATCAAGAGGAAATTTTACCTTCATGTTTTTCTTAATTTAAAAGCAAGTAAACGTGTCAATGTTTCAATACATAAGCGCCATTTTTTGCCTCATTTTTAAATGAGGAAAAGCTTCAATAGAACATTAGAAAATTCTATAGAATATGATGATTCATCTTTTAGCGATATCAAAAACCTTTTGGGTCAAAAAATAATATAATCAAATTTAATATTAAAAAAAATCTGTGAAAAAAAATCCCTGATTTTTGTTTCTCGAGAAAAGAATATGAATATAGTTCATTTCACATGTTGACTACTTTCCTAGTTCCTAAAAGTTCATCTTTTATAAATATTGATCCTGGTTTTTTATTTTTTTATTTTTATATTTCCAGCTAGATATTAGAGAGGACCCATATGGCCTTCTGGCAGCCCATCCGATAGCGCCACTTGTATCACTTCATCACATTGATTACTTGAATTCTCTGTTCCCGAACCGAACCCAAATAGAGTCCTTGGAGACTCTCATTCATGCATATAGGATCGACCCGAACCGGATCCTGCAACAAAGTTTCGGATATGACGGCAAGCGAAGATGGTGCATATCCATCTCATGGGGCTACACCATTCAAATATATCCGTTTTTAGTATCCGCAAACAACTTGGCCATGCCCCTGCAGACTTTCAAGACATGGCGGAGTTGGAGCAACGGACCGTTTGTATTCAACACACGATCCCTGAGTCCTGACCCGTGCCATAACCCGGTCGTTTATTTCCTGAACCGGGCTGAGAAAGTGGGCAAGACGGGGACCCGAACCACATATATCGGGCCAGTCCCCAAGTTTGGGCATTGTAAGAACGGAGAATATGCCAAGGCCTCGACACTCAAAAGAATTATCGTCTCTTCAATGAAGATGGATCCAGAGTATTGGCACAAGGTGAGTCCAATTTTTTTTATTTATTATTATTATTTTTTTTAATAATATAAGGGTTGAGTTAAGTTGAGATGGTGGGTTTACAGTGTTTTGACTTGATTTTGTGAGCAGGCACCACAGAGACAGTGCTTTGAAATTTTGGATGGTGGAAGAATGAGGGGTGAAATTTTGCGGATCAGGATTAGAAAGTGCAGGCCGAAGGAGATTATGGCTGTTTAGATTAATTAGATTAATTAAATGGCTAGATTAGCATTCTGACATTTCCTTCCTTGTAATTATACCGTTCTACGGAAATAAAGTTCAGGATTTTACTTTTCTTCTCCATTATAGAAAAAGAGAGCCTTTTATTCATATCATGGACATGATTGATGATGTTGTAAACCTTTAAAATTATATTCCCATAAAGTGTTGCACCACTATCTACGGCTTGGAACTAAAGGAGATGTGAAATGGTGCCTGTGGATTGCCACGGTTGATTTCCCACCAAATGGGGCAACCAAAAAAGAGCGAAAAATATGCTTCTTTGTCTAGTGTCATTTCAATATGCGTCAACCTTTTGTGTTCTAGAGATGATGACTGAAGAAGAAGTGAACATGAAGAAGCTGATCTGGTTGTTAAAGACTTAAAGTCTTAAAGATTGTAGGTGGACTCTTTCAGAATGCACAAAAACACAATCTAATAATTCAAAAACACAATACAATATATTACATGCTCGGATTTGTTATTCAAGTTTAACATAAGCCTCTCAAATTGCTGCAGTTACAGATTAATCGATAGGAACGATGATCCCTCTCTGTACATGAGTAAAGAAATTCTAGTTGCAAAGTAATGTGTCACGCGTTGCATTGCCGGTTGTTGAATTTACCCTAATCACAAAAGGTTGCTTTTATCATAAATGATTACACAGTAGCAGAAAATAGTACAACAAATTACAGTCAACTTACCCATCTGCAACTTTGCAAAGGTATTCCCGTTGATCATCTCTCAAAGGCACATCTGTAAAGTCTGTTACCAGACAAAGGCAATCAGTCAAAACAAACCACTGCAGGATTTAACAAAGCTCATATTTAAGTTGTCCAAGACAAAAAAATATATTACCAGTTGTTTCCTGGAACAGATAGAAGCTTAATTACAATATAAAAATGGAGAAGCAAACTTTGAAGCAGCTAACCTCAACCTTAACAAATGAGTGTGAACGTGTGTGTAAGTGGGTGATCGAGTGCATTTACAATCCCTACCCAAATAAAATGTCCTTTGCTGGAGAAATATAAAATGTAAAATTCCTTTTCACAATACATAGTACTGAAAACAATACTGTCCTCTCAGTTGATATTTAATATTTTATTCAAAGAAGTTGTCTGTTTATGAATCGAAATACGCATGTCAATGTTTTCAAACTAACAATATCCATTAACAACTCCTGCATCTTATATAAGTAAATCAGTCACGTAATTAACTGAAAGAGCCAAATGTTTCCAGGTTCACTGAGATAACATTTGCTATGAGTTTCACTCTTTATCTATTATTGTTCATATTGTTTTTCTTAAACATTTTGTCCTCTTTGCCAGCAGCTTATGCTACAGTAACGTAATTTAAGTAGATTGGCAAATTGCCTATGTTGATACAATGAGTATGACCCTGTAAAGAACCTCAACACCCAATAGCAATTCCAGTCCAAACCCACAAACAAGCAACCTCAACAACACAGAATTAATAAGAGTAAACTGATATGTATTATATTGATAGAGATTAACAATTGAAGAACAATCAAAGGAAATAATAAAGAACATGAAAGAAAACATAATAACTAGCATTTCGAGGAGCTAGTGGCCTCCCAACATATTCCTTTTAAAAAACAGCTTGTTGTTTTCATATGTTAGTCCCCCTTATAAGCACACTTGATTCCCCACTAATACTCGCTACATCCAGGACATGTGTACTCATTATTAACTAACCCCATTGCCTTTATTCCCACTAGTGGCCCTTCCACCCTTCTTGAGATACATCTTAGTAACCGGTGGCCTATCAGACCCCTAACGATTGACTCAAGAAATGTAATGAATCGTTAACAGTTTAGCTATTTAAAAAAGAAAAAAATCACCACAATGTTTCTACATACCAGCACCAGTTATGATTGATCCCTTGAAAGATGTGTTCCCAGTCGTAAGTGCCCCTTCCAAGTTGCATTGCTTAGATTTACCTGCAGAAATTAGTGAGACATGCCACACATGTCACACAAAGCTTCAATATTAATAGTGCTGATTAGTTGTATCATTGCTCCCAAACGCAGCCAACTTGAGAGATGTCGACAGAATTCAATAAATAGTACTCATATTATATATTTAATATCAAAACAATTTACCATCACCACAAAAACTGCTCCTTTCAAACATGTGCATATACATCAGAAGGAAACTAGGAAAACTTTTAAGAAGATCTGAAAAGCATAATAGAAATTAACCTTTGTCACATTTGCCAATGAAAAGTCTGCCCCTCTTAGATCAGCATCCGAAAGATCACCCCTGATAACAAAAGGAAAAGCAATAGTAATAGACACTAAATTAGCCCCACAAAAAGCCCCTGCTGATGATTTATATGCTATAGCCCCAACGGAAACATTATATAGATTTGTTTGTTCTAAGCTAGATAGTTCAAGCTCAAACACATTTGTAATGTGCACCAACACCACTTGGAAACAGCCATACTCATTTGAATTTAATTTATTGCTTGATGATGAGTAATATGCAAGATCAAATATAAAATAAAACTCATTACTTTATTCCTTGAGAAAGGAATTTAGTTTACCCGTTAAATCTGCATCAAAGAGCTAGCACCTAGTAACTTCGCGCCCTTAAATTGGCTTGTCTCAATATAACTGAGCAGATACAAACCCCATTTCTCAATTATCATATAATCTTAAATCACACATACATAAACAAAAATTTGATTTATTAAGACCGTTTTGAAGTCTTGCTTGATCAAAGTCTTGCCACTAAGTCCTCCCAGTGAGATCTTGCCTCTTGTTACTTCAGCACCGTATGGACCTCCTCCCTTCCATCACATCACCATGAAAGGAAAGCTTCAAGACTAATAAACAGAAACAGTAAAGAAGAATCAAAGCAAAATATTGAAATTTTAACCCCTTTGTTCCTTTCAATTAAGAATACAAGATACTATAAAAATTGAACCTTTTTTAATCTAAAGTTTCCAAACCAAAAATCAATCAAAACATACTACAATTAAAGTGTAGTTTTATTTTACCTTAAATGCAAGCAGATCAGCAAAGAACAATGAGCAGAAACAAGAGCAAGCAAGCTAGTTCTAGCCACGGACTCACTTAAACACAAGACTAGATTCTCATTACATTGAGTTCTCTCTTCAGTATCTGTTGATAATAATAATAATAAAAAAAAAAATGTAAAAAACTTTGCACATTCATGGGCTAAGACGTAATATAGAAACTGTCAATTCGCATTGCATGTACTAAATAGGAATTTTTGAGAGATTGTAGAGTAACCTGGGGTGAAGAGAAGCTAGAGAAGACAGAAGAGGTTTGTTAAGAGCGGTTTATTGAAGGGAAGGAAGTTTTGGTGATTTTGGAAGAAAATGAGACGTTGAGAAGTGCCATTATTGTTTTGTTTTTGTGAGAGTTGCAGTGACAGAGCACAAATGGATAATGAGCATACAGCATAATCTGATAGGATACGGTTTTTCTTTGGGTGTGGTTATTCACACGGGTACTTCTTGTGTACGTAAGCTGATTCATGGGCCTGGGCTTTTAGGGCTTGGGTCGGGTCAAATATTGGGCTTTGAATGCTAGCCAAGGGAAGTTAATCTGGGCCTAGTATGAATTTAATGGGCTTAAGGGAGTCATTCGTCCTAGAACCATCACTGAGTGGAATAAACCATGTTTGCTTGACTGGTTGGATAAAATTTGAGATAATTTTTGAAAAATAATAAATATTTTTATCTCTATTTCATTCGGGTTAATTTTATTTGCTCTCTTAAGATAGTTAGTCTTACACACCCAAAGATTTTAAAAAATCCTCTATTCAAGTGGGGTTTTTATATTATAAAGTTAATTATTATTATTTTTTACATTTATTGGGTTTTGTGATTTTTTTTAAGGTTTTTAGAATTTATAGTAATGAACACTAATTGAAAAGCTCCTTCTGAATTTCCAGACCTCTAACGTACACATCAACAAATACAATTCAGTGAAACGACTGCATAATAAGTATAATTCGAAAGAATTGGCGAGGGTCACAATCTCAGGAGATACATCACACAGTACAATTGTGTAGAACAGCCAACCAATGTAATCCGAACTCGGTGGCTTGGTAACACAAAAGTGAAAATTATGTTTGCATTAAAAAAGGTGATAAAGATAGAAAGATATTTGCACCGAAAATGGACTCAGAATTACCAAGAAAGAAAAGAAGGAAAGAAAAGAGAAAAAAAGGCATCAGATTTAATAAGAAGAGCAGTAATGAAGACTGGACAGAGTGACAGAGATGAAATAAAAATGTGGTGTGGCTCGGTTTCTAGGGTGACATGTTGCAGACCTTGGCATTCGATACCTTGTCGGGACTTGAAGACAGTGACGTGTTCCCACTACCCATCTCCTTCTCTCTCTCTCTCTCATGCGCACGTTACCCCACACCATTCAAGATTCAGAAATTTAGTCCACTTCTTACAAATGCTTCGGCTATTCCTCCTCCTCCTCTATCTTTTTCTTCTTTTCTTCTACACTTTCCCAATTTCGAGAACCTCCTTCTCCCCCAATTATACTTCCCCACGTGGTGGGGCAAGGGTGGCTCTGTCTTTTCTTCTATTGGATAAAGATCATTAGGGGGTGTTTATTTTGTTTCTTGTTGTAGAGGAGTGGACTAGGCTCTTGAACTTGGGTGGGGGATTGAGTTGAAACCTTATAGCACAAAACTGGATACTGGGGGACAAAGAAAAACCATTCTCTGCAAAACCGCTTACCTATTTAGAGTGATACACGAATCCTTATCGTAGCCACCAGGGAAAGTGTGTTAATTAAGTTGTGTTTTAACGGACGCCCTAAAACAGTTGAAACCAGAAAGTAACAGAGAGAACTGGAGGTCCCGCAGAAGATAATCGTACTTGAGCGGATTCTTTGTCTAAAGAGGTACAGACTTTCTCTTCTCCTGACCACCAAATTATTCAACTTTTTTTTTTACTACCTCGTATGTATAGAACGTAACTCTATGTTTCAGGGGTGTGGGGTTTTAAGCTTGTTAAAGAGTGAATGAGTTATTATATCTTTGATTTTTGGGGGGGTCTAGGAAAGGTTTATGTGAGGGAGGGGTTTGTGGATCTGATTTTTGGAATTTGGAGGCTAATGGTTAGGGTTTTCATGCAAACAAGAGGAACCCATATCTCTAATGTCTGATTCATGCCACTGGCTAGATGGGTTTGGCTGATTTTGGGTGAGAAAAGGAAAAAAGGGATAAGGTTTTGGATTATCTATTGGATTTGCGTTTTTTATTCTGAGATCCTCAATCTACAGCTGGAAACAAACAAGATCAAAGAGGAAAAAGAATCCGAGAGTTTTTTCCGACTTCTCATTGTTTGGTGCTTTTCATCATCATCCCATTGTTCAACAAAGCAGCAAGGAAGTAAAGCTAAACAGAACAAAGGCGATCACAGAGGACTAATTTTTCTTCTCTTCTTGTATATTGATTCTCGAGAACCAATCATGGCTAATCGCTGGTGGGCTGGAAATATAGCAATGAGGGGTGTTGATCCAATAACTCCACCTCCGAGTCTTCACTTGAGAAATCCAGAAGAAGAACATAGCGTTCTAGGTCGTCTCGGTCCAAGAAGAGAGCAAGAATTCATAGACAACAACCCAAAGCGCCACAAACACCAGTAACACTAATGCAAACAACGCCAACACCAATACCCTAACGCCACCACCCCAACCAGCAACAACACCAAGATGACCAGAAGACAGCCGTGACAACAACGAATCTGAAGACCAAAACTTGGGCCTTGAAACCATCGAACCGGGTTCCGGCTCCTCCTCTCGTCGACCCAGAGGAAGACCACCGGGTTCAAGGAATAAACCAAAACCTCCCATTGTTATTACCAAAGAAAGCCCAACTCTCTCCGTAGCCACGTTCTTGAAATCACAGCGGCACTGACATCGTTGAGAGCATCGCGAATTTCGCTCACGCCGCCACCGTGCGTCTCCATCTTAAGTGGAAGTGGCATTGTGACCAATGTCACACTCAGACAACCAGCAGCACCCGTGGGGTTATCACCTCCCATGGAAGGTTCGAGATTTTATCATTATCTGTGCGTTTTTCCGGCGCCATCGCCACCGGGAGCTACGGGCTTAACCGTGTATTTAGCGGTGACAAGGTCGTGGTAGGGGAACTGTGATGGGGGCTTTAATGGCGTCAGGGCCAGTGATGGTGATAGCAGCTACGTTTACTAATGCTACATTGAGAGGTTCCTGTTGAAGATGAAGGGAACAGGCGGTGTGGAGGGTCAATTGACAGTCCAGCTTGCAACAGCAAGGGAATGGAAGTAATAGTGGGTGGTGGTGGTGGTGGGTGTGGAGGTGAGGTGAGGGAGAGTGTGGTGGTGGTCAGTCCCGATTTTGGGCGGTGAGCAAGGGTTCAACAACAATGCCTATGCCTATGTATATCTGCCCTCCTAATTTGCGGCCTAATGACAAATGCCTCATGATGTATTTTGGGCTCCGCCTCCTCGCCGCCTCCGTTTAACTAATCAGAAGAGGCTGAGAGGGTGATGGAGAAGAATGAAGAAGGGGCTTTTTTGCTGACTGGTTTTGTGCAAAATGTACTGATAGTTCAATGTATAATAGCGCAGGAAGGTTAGCTAGGTTTCTTTATCTTTGTGAATCCTGATCAAGTGATGACTAGTTAGTTTTGCCATGTTTGAGTACTCGTTGGTTGTCTTGTTTTCCACTCTCTAATCAACTTTTCCTTGTGGAAGAATGTAGCTTTTTATGATGTAGGAATAGCAGCTATAGTCATAAAAATGGAGTTGGTGCTACTGAAATTCATGGCTCTCTTCTGTTATGGTAAGCTTACCAAATTAATTTTATGTCTCTAGGCCTTAATGTGTTCATTTTTGATGAGACATGGTTTGAAAACTCAATCTATTATGGTTGAAATTTAAATTTCTTCGGTAATGATTGATAAAAGCTCTTTGCATTAGCAGATATAGATAGGTACGAGTGGGGGAAACAATAGAGAGATGGTGGGGTTGATTCATCCGAATTTTCCCCACCATGGTCGTTTCGGTTCCAAGTTGAATGGTAAAGTAATACACTGGCTCATTAATTGTGGTACAGAAGGATATTCCCAACTTGGTTTGTCCCTCTGCAAGTTGAATTAATTTGATATTTATACATGTTGGGGCTCTAGGGTTCGTGGCTGAATTTGATATGAAGCGACGTTCCTATCCAAATGTGTCTATTTTTGTTTGTCCATTTAGATATAAGGCCATTCTTGCACATCTACATCT